AATGGTAGTTTACTGGGTTGTTTGTTGACCTGTGAACTTTGTGAACACAAATAAACATCAAACAGCTACAGAACAAAACCCAGTGAAGTCTGTTTATAAACGTAGAAAATAAGGTGGCCATATGAGGAGATTATTAGATCCTTCATGCTGCAAGTATTTGAGGCAGTCTGCTGTTGATGTAAGTATGAAAACAAACAAACAAATAAAACAAAGTTATCAAAGTATACAAAAATATCTAAGGCACTGAGCTTTATACAGAAATAAGAACCAACAAACAAATAAAACAAAGTTATCAAAGTAAACAAAACAATGAGAACTCTCATTAGTGGAGTGCTATTAATAGACGATAATAAACCTTAATAGGGGGATTTTCGAAGTCCTGGGCTCAGTGGTGTAATGCATAAATGTAATGGCCATTGAACAGAAGTATAAGTTCAGTCCCGTACTTGGTCGAATTTCCTTCGATATGAAAGATAGTTCGAAGCTTTGATGACAGTATTCTGTTTGGTATTTTATTATTATTTTAGGATTAAAAAAATAGCATATATAAAGAAGTAGAAACATCGGCTTTATTTACTCATCTATAAAGAGAATAAAGGAGTGTAGGATGTGCATGTTCACAGTGCCCTTGCTCTTAAAAACGGCCCCACCAGTAGAGTCAAGCTCAAAGGCACACACTATGCCGCTCGCTCTGCTGCGAGAGGTCTCGCTGGGCAAACTCGTTGGTTGTACGGTGCGTCCTTGGGTGCCATTGTGGGGCATGCTTACCTCGTTGGTTATAACCCAGTATCAAAAGGTACTAAGGGCTTCTGACCAGCCTTCAAGGTTGTGTCAAAACCTTAATTTTTGGATAGCCTTTCCGGGGAATCCGGGAGGGCAACAAGGTTACGTTATAGGGCTAGATCTCCTTTCAAGAAGAATTCCGAGGAATTCTTAGGTAAATGAATAGTGCTTGCAGCCCTCGATGAAAGGTAAATTACTCATAGGAGAGACGAGTGATTGGAAAGCGTGAATTGTTTCCCCTATAGGGTCGTGAGAGTAGTGTGAGTGGTTTCTTCTTCCAAATTCTGCCCACCCTTTGTAATTGTCTACGTTTTCGTTACCTTTAGATTGTTCACACTAATATTATATTCTGTAGTAATTTGTATAACACTTAGGCAGTTATGAAGGGCGAAAAATAATTAAAATCGCATCGATTAAACTTCAGTGACCCCGAACTCGAAAACCTTTTTCTCCCGTCAATCAAAATTATGGGTGGTGACGACTCACTATGGGTACCCGTTGAAACCGGCCTTTTTTTT